GACGAAATCTGTGTAAGACTTTGACATCTGTCCAGTACAACAGAACTCCACTCAGTCAGTTCAAAGTACAGCCTGCTTCTGTAAACCGTTTTCCTATTGCAAATATCACCCCCTGTACTCGGCAGTGTTCATAAACTATCGAGCATTCGCATTCAGACTGACCACTGTCCAAACACGTCCGAGCGTAGGATATGTTATTGGTTTTCTTTTTTAGTTTATTTAACAACGAGGTGACAATTACACTGGTCAGTAAGCCGTACATTTTATTTGATTACTGTAACCAAAATGAGTGAAGGAGTTTAACAACAAAACCAATATCAGCCTGCAATGGCAGATTCTTATGACTACATTAATATTACATTAATAGTTTTCTATTTGCTGTTATTTCCATTTCAGCAAACAATTCAATCTGCATTGCACTCTCTTTTACGACATCTTCGCTTCAGAAGAAAGGCGTGCATCAGTATAGTCAACCAGGTTTTGGAATACAAATAACAAAGGTCTATTTCTTACAATATTTGACATGCCCAAATTAGTTTCTCTGTTTCAAATACCCACATGTGTATAGCGTAGTTGTGAGTACATGAGCCTCCTGCTTTAAATTTCTATTTAATTTCCAAAATAAAGTGATACCATCAATAGACGGAATGTTGTAAAAGAGATGGTCAGTGTTTCTTGAAGGAACAAATCCAAATTTAAACGCAGCTCTATTAAATGACACTTTGAAGTGTATTCTGGAATTGTGTGCCAGTTTCAAATTGAGCTGTTCTTCTGAACTATGAACTCACACGTGGAGCTGAGACATTCTTGAGAAGTAGTCAGTTGTGCAACTACTCAAGAATTTTCAAGCAATTTATGGAAACTGATGGTATATTACCGTGTTCACAAGGGCCCTCCACGGATGCATATACTGAGCCAGTTCAATCAAATCCATACCATCCCATCCTATCTCTCTAAGATAAATTTTACAATTGTCAATTCACCTACGCCTTGGTCTTCCCAGCGGTCTCTTTCCTTCTCGCTTTCCCACCAATATCTTATATTCATTCCTCTTCTCCCTCATTCGTGCTACATTCCCTGCCCATCTCATCCTCCTTGATATCTTCATTCTAATTACATTTGGAGAACAGTACATGTTATGAAGCTCCTCATTATGCAGTCTTCTCCAACCTCCTGTCACTTCATCTCTCTTCAGTACAAATATTCTCCTCAACACCCTGTTCTCAAACACCCTCAGTCTATGTTCCTCCTTACTGTCAGGGACCTGGTTTCACACACATACAAAACCACAGGCAAAATTATAATTTCTTTTATTCTAATTTTTATATTTTTGGACAGCAAACGAGAAGACAAAGGGTTCTTGACTGAATGGTAGGAAGCATTACCCGAGTTAAATTTCTTCTTCACTTTTTTATTAATCAAATTTTGATCTGTTACTGTCGCTCCAAAACATCTGAATTGTGCCATATTTTCAAAGCATCTATTAGCTCTCTTTATGTCACGATTTTGCCTTGCATTTTCGTGACGCGACAGCAACATATACTCATTTTTCTGTGTGTTTACTTTTAGAGCAGCCCCCTTACTAGCGTCAATTAAAGCTTGTGTGTTTTTCATTATGGTATCCATATTATTACCCGAACTTCTTATATAATAAAAACAAATTCTTCTAACATGAAATTAAGGTTATGAAAACTAAATATCAATAAAACCACTTCCTTCACAGCAGCTGTAATAATTATACTGGCCTGGCACAGTATTCAGAGGCCTGCCTGTAGTAGAAAAATGAGGCGTAATTAAACTAGAAGAGTCTTCATCTTGCATTTCCTCAACCCCTTAAAAATAGTTTACTTTTCCAGATTTTATGCATGTTCATATGATAAAGCTGTCTCCTTCCACGGTCCCGTTTTTAGAGACACCGCGGTCTTGAATTACCTTACATCAATATGCAGAACAAAAAACATCACAGTTGAGCGTGTGGGAAAACTTCCGTCAAGAAAACACAGTATGACATTACAGTACTTCGTAGATGATTTATCGCCATGCAAAATACATTTTTACACTATCGTTGCGTGCGAAATCTGAATGTATTTATATGACTTACTCTGACAAGCAAAGTACTTGTATTTGCAGTGGATATGCTACAGTCAATATTTACGAAATATGAATAATATTGTGACATATGACTCCTGAAAGCCAGAATAGCGGAGTCAGAGTAGACGTTCATTGCGAGGCAACGACTCGGTAAACAGGTTACCGCGGAAAAATACGTAAGCAACAATCGAAGTATTTTTGAGCTATAGCGATGAAAACTGTGGGTTACGCTAGATCCAACTCAAGGCTATATTACTGGTATCCAATTAGAATTGAGGGACTCTCCTGAAATGGCAATTTATGATGATTTGACGAGAGATGGCAAGAAAGAAATTAAGCTGTAAAAAGAGACTTCATGTGTGCCGCAGTCAAATTGAGATTAGTAAAATTACTGTTTCGAAATCCGTTGCCGGGATACGACTAGTGAAATCTGAGAACACTAGTGCGTGTGTAACGGTGAAATGTAAAGTGTGTAGATCAGCGATAGCGCTGAAATTGCCTCTATTTCCGAGTTTTGTGTATAAGGCGTTGATAAGTCCAATCATTCAATCCATCCCCATACACGTGACAATACAATATTTAGGCCTACTATGTACCGTCCAAAATGTTTGCTGCAAAGTAAGTATCAAATATCTCCCTTCCGCTTGGTGCATTTAATTGTTATGATAGATCATGCCTTATAAGTTGTAGTATCATACATACTACTATGGTCTCTCGAAAATACAGAATACATTCTTAGGATAAGTGCGTTGTTAACACATCGCCCAATAATACAGACCTGCGAGGCACTTCATAGAGCACAAATTAACCCTTTAAATCTTAATTTATTCAAAATATTGTCATGAAAATAACGGGTTCTAAATCAGATGACTGGATTTATTAACACTTCTATTACGCTCTGTCTCTTAATTAATTAATACAGCGCTATCGCTGATTTACAAGGTATACAGTTCACCGTTACACTCGCTGTAGGATTCTCAGTTTATTTATGAATATTCTTTGCATAGGTTCATTTTCCCACAAAAGACGCACAACAAAGCTGCTCTTCTGTAGTATACACCTCAAGCACGGTCGCCATTTTGATAATTGTAACCAGCCTCCGAACGTACGCATCCTCGGCTACTGCCTAGACTGTCATGAAGCTGGGCTGTGCTGCTACCTAGTGATACACATATGAACTTATTACATCCATTACAGCTGTTGTACTTCCATTTGTGGCCTATTTATTGACTCCCTTGTAGCTTCATCAACAAAATTGTTACTATGTCCACTGATAAAATCGACCCCATGCAGTTGTTGGTGTAGCGATACGTAGAATGGCTGGAACTTCAAGAATGCGGTCTATATTTTTTTAAGAAATTTTAGAATAAATTTCAGTTTGTGGGTACTAATATGAAGATTATTTTACAAATGTACCTGGAACATCAACTTCAGCTCCTTTGTCCGTGAGAGCTTTCCGTCGATTTCGCTTCCCTGAGTTAATATTTCCTGTTTCATTAAGGTTTATTTTTGTTAAGGCGAATGAACGTCTGTCAAGAGTCTTTTCAGGAGATCCCTCCGCCTACAGCTGCTGCGCTCCTACTGAATTTTTTGCTCATTCCCCATAAATATGGGACATTTCAACGTTTTCTTAGTTACTGTACACCATGATTCGTACTCTCAAGGATAGAATTATTCTTAACCATGTTGAATGAACGACCAGACGATTTGAAGTACTACCATAGTCAATAAGTTCGTGGAATGGCCGCAAATTGTCGTACGGGAATTTACTGTCAATATGTTTCAGCAATGTTTTCGGCAGCTATATCAACGTTGGAAAACATGTTTAGCGGCCAACGGCAACTATTCTGAGGGCCGATGTGGATCTTCGTAAGTGTATGTGAATACCTTGTAATATGATGCGATAGAACCACATTCCACGAACTTAATGACTCTACCACGTAGTACTGCTTCGTGTCTGCTTGCATATGTCACTGACTCTGCGGAAATCTTTATTTACGAAACACTAATGAACACAGATATTAAGCCTGAGATACGTCACATGTCTCTACGTTCTGTCATAAGCAGAATGGTAGTCAAATATGTGAGTTCTCATCTAAGAAAATTACTTCGTACCACGTGTAAGTTTTGAGGTTTTCACGGCGATGACTATGACAAATACACGGCGCCAGATCCCAGAAGACGACTTTCTTCATACTTCGTACCACCTTCACCAGTTTTCAAATGTCTGATTTCCACTGCAAGTTGTTAAGCCCTCCTAATGAAATGGTAAAAACTGAAGCTATCCCTGTAACCCTCGGTGAAGGCCCATAGGGTTGTGAGACGTCGAGGTTCCCACATTTTCTAGACAATCGGCTCACAGAGGGCGGTAAGGTTGTCAGTCTTAATGGATTGGCCGCCTTTGCCCTCCAGGAAGAATCCTGTTACTCATTTCTGTTAGAGGCCGAATCGACCACAGGGCCATAAAGTTCTGCTGGAAGGATTAAGAAAATTGAAGAAATTCACCTCATCGGGGCTCGAAACCGCGATCTTCCGGTAGCATAGTGCCTCAACCAACTGTGCTACCGATGAAATGGTACTTTGTGGTTACTGAACTATATGGTGACATTTGAAAACCTTCTAGTGACCGGTATCATATATCTAAACCGAACAACGTTTATCCAGAACATCTATGTTCGATATTTAATAGAAGGTATTTCGCATGCTCAAGTCATATGGGACATTCTGCATATTGGCCAATGGGCTTTGGTACGTTTAGAGTCATTTCTTTATGCTGTACTATTCTGAACCTGGACGAATTTCGTTATACCATACCACTCTGAAACTGGACATCACCTTATCACCAACCCCGATTTGAAATATGAAGGCAGAGAAACAGCAAGACAGAAATTATTCTAACTGCTATTTACCAGGATAGTAGAAGACGCTCTTCGTGACGGCGTAGTTGGCGTCTGGAATACGTAACTCGCAGGTGAACACTGTGGGAATCTCAAGATCACTGTCCTGCACCACTCTTCTGGCCACGATATCGTACGAGCCCTGGCGGGACACTGTCTCCGGCTGCACATCCTCCACTTTTGCCCTGTCCAACAAAATAAGATATTTGAGGGACACAGATTGTGAGCTATGCTCCAGTCTTAACTGCCAACAGACAACACTAATATGCTCAGCAATAGCGGAAAGCAAGGCTACAGTTTGGACTATACAACAACAACAATGTGCTTGACAACAATGGAATTCACAGAATTACTGATTTCCTGAACTTTGCCCATCATCCTGTATTCTAGGAAATAGAAAACATAACGTTCCGGAAACTTGATCTCTTTACGTCCTCAGGTGAAGGGGGAAGTCACCTATTCAATTGGGCCCCCTTAGAAAGAACTAATCTGAATCACTGGACCAGTGACTGACATTAGCTCTTTCTTCCCTCACTCACCTGAGGACGGAAACAGATCCAGTTTCTGAAACGTCGTGTTTTCTATTTCCTAGAATACCGGACGATGGAAAAAGTTCAAAATCCCAGTAATTCTGTGTGTTCTACATCATCGTCAGAAAATTTTACAATAGTGGAATTTTGTATCGAAGACTTGACTGCGCAGTATCACTGAGCATCTGTCAAACTCGGTCCTCTGCTGTCGGAAAATAACAATTAACTGCCTGATTTATTCGGCCTAAAGGCTGAACTCTAGGTTAACTTCGTCTCCCGGCCCAAATAACCCGTCCCCCCCCCCCCTTACTTACTTTCGTTATTGAAGTGTTAAGAATTTAATCCGTTGTTTGGTTTAATAACAAGTCTAAGAGAGAAAAGATAATATTTTCTTTAAAATTTTATACTCTGAGCTAGTTCTTCATTATTGTACATAACAGCTCCCATGATCTGCACAGGATTTTCACTTTTCCTTCCCATATCAGCATATTCGATTTTGGTTCTTTTGGCAGGAAGTCATTGTTATTGATGTACTATAATTGGATAACAGGTTTAAAGTCAACTCAGCTCACCAGTTGTATGAAAGTATTTGCTTAAATCATTCTTCCTTCAAGGACTAAACTGAAAAACATATTAATTTAAATGTCGCAGTGAAACTTCCTTCGAATCAAATGTAATGATATACAATCAAGACCCGATCTTTACAATCTCGTTTGTGAGAAAAGTGAACCATATGGAGGTTCGGTTGATTTGCATGTAGGAAGAATTTACAGGCATCACATATACTATGCAAGAAATGTTACCAACAGTTTTATTATTACAACTATAATTGCACATAAAATTTCTTCCCTGTCCTCAAAGAGAGTACTGATTTATAGTAGGTAGTCTATGCATATCAAACAATCCCCCAGAAAGGTTAGGTCTTTCCAAAACTATCATTCATTGAGTCTTTTCATAATAACGCGATCACCAATAAACGTTTTCATATTTGACTATACAACATCCACAGTAGTGTACAACAGGACAACATGAAAACAGATACAATCACACTGAATATCTATTAAAATTCGTTTCGGCATAAATTCTCTTTACAATAACAGTGCTGCTGTTAACATGGCAGCACAAATTTTTCATCCCCGTGGCAGAAACAAAGCTGATGTTCACAGGTATTGTGAGGCCTTGTTTAGTAAGCTGTAAGTAAATCCATATTTTACCTTTTTTTAAAAAAATTGACATAACTTTTAGATGTCTACATATTTAATACAAATTCACTCCATATTTCGACCAGTATTGATCATCTTCAAGTAGTACAACATCTGAAACAAAAGCCAGTGAACTGCTGTTGCTTCTCTACAAACGTATTGAAAACAATAATGCAGTTTCAATACGTTTACACAGTTCATTGAGGTATTATTATTATTATTATTATTATTATTATTATCATCATCATCATCATAAAAGTATAAAATGAAAGAAGGTAAAAAGACAATGGATGAGTAGAGACAGCTCAGTTGGTATAGCAACGGGCTATGGTCTGGACGACCGGGTTTCGATTCTCTGCAGGTGCCAGAATTTTTTTGTCAACAGCGTGTCTACCGACTCTCAAGTACGACCGAACTTCCGGGCCGATTTCTCTTGGGGTTAGAGGACTGAGCCGTGAAGCTGACCGCTCACCTCCATCTAGTACCGAGATGAAGAACGGTGGAGCTATGCTTCCACTCCTCCATACGTTTGCATTGCGCAGTGTTTAATTAATTGAAAATTGAACACAGGGAAAACCTTACCTGTACTTCAAATGAAGGTGGGATAATAGAAAGGAAGAAAAGTTAAAACATTGAAAATTTTTAAAAAGTTTTAAAAGATTAAGAAAAAATGCAGGTATTCTAGTATGATGTGTGTACGCGTATAAAATTCAGTTATTCTACTGACTGCACGATAACTATACTCGTATATCCATGTGGTTATACCTTGGTTACATAGTCACAGGTTTAAACAGCGTATACTAAAATAAGGTAGAAGTAAAAAAAAATGAAACAAAAGTTTTCATGTTATAGTGGCATNATAGCTACTTGAATGGACTCTGTTGGTATTTTAATAACTCATGTTAAAAATGTTGATCATTTATATTCATTTAAAACTGTTTACATGCAGCATAGGCTAATAGTTTAAACAACTCACCAAATTAACACAACTGAAATTCAAGTCCTCTAATAGGACCAGAATTAAGGGCCAGTTTCTTCTGGCCTTTTCGTTGTATTAAACTTGTAGCATAGTCGGAATCCTCGCATTTCAGTCTTTTTTGCCTGCTGTCAGATTCACGCTGGTTTCTTTCTTACCGTACTTTGGAACCCAGAAGATGGAGGCACCATGTTCCTTCGAAACGTCTTCTGACTTTCAGCAGAATACACGGCATTATGCCTATATCCCAGGAGGAAGATATCTTCACAACTTTTCTTTCGGTCCTTTCCACTTTTTCTTCTTGGCACTTAAGTAAATTAGTTCTTTATTCGTCTTATTTTTCCAATATATCCAGTGTATTTTCCGTGGAAATAAAAAACTAGATTCAACAACTCTCATAATGATCATCTAAATTCAGCTCATTGTGTAATACACAAATTGTAATGGGTACAATGCACCAATGTTCCTACAGGAATGCATTCCTCCAGGGCTTCCAACAACAGGCTGATGACTTCATCCTGTGAGATCTATATCCAAGACGTGCGGATCTACTATTAACTAGTACAATGTTGTCGCTAGACCGGAGTGCCCATGAGTTACACACGTCCAATTGATTGGCAAATCCATCGGTATGGTAACATCTGCACATCGCTGTGTCAGGTGGCACTTAGCTATTACGGTGCAAAATGGCATAAACTTGGAAAGGGAGAACCACCAGTAACTGAAAGAAGGTATTCGAAAGGACTGTAACATTTTTACTACCTAGGATTTACTTTTGTTACTCCTGACATCTCGCATATGTAGTCTTTAAACTTTTCTAAGTCTAGGACCAAAAATGAAAAAGTGACAAGGTTTCCAAGTATCTGCATTCTGTAGGTATCGTCATGAGAGTATACCGTAATTCAGAATCTGCATGTGTAATTGTTACTAGCCCACTAAAATATGTTTATTTATCTTTAATAAATAGCACCACTATGTGTAGGAAGATGAAGAAATTTTGTAATCATCCAAGCTATATGCACGAGGACATATAAAATAATATTTCAGACTTCCGTCTTCCAAGGATCTACGATTTGTAACACGGCTCCGTATCCACACTCCTGAGGAATGCAGAAACTGATAGAAAAATCCTGTGTTCTTTTCTTCATCGCTAGGCAGATCCCGACGTTAAACATTGGAGAAAGAGATAGGAAAACTGCACTAATGACGTTAAACATTGGAGAAAGAGATAGGAAAACTGCACTAATAATCGAAACAAAATACTAAATATCAACAGCGAAAAAGATAAAAATATATTGTCACGTGTCTGAGTAACTATGACTCGGGTTGGACTGGTGAATTGGTTTATTGGGTCTTCACTAGTTGTAACTACAAATACTTTTAACACTTTCCAGATTACTATAACTATAACACACAAAGTCTTCAATCCACACTTTAAGTCTTCAGAGGTCTTCTATGAACTACTATAACTGACCCCCTCAGTGAGGCTTCAAGCCCCACACGTTGGTCTCCACTTTCATCCGCCGCTTCCTTGTTGCTGTCTGGTTCAGGGTAGCGTGTGGGATTACTCTGAATTTGAATTTGTATGGGCGCGAGTGGACTCGGACGAAATCCACGAATTTGG